GATGAGGGCAACAAATGTATAGATGTGCTTTACACAATTGATCTATGTATTGTGATGAATTGTATGAGCCCCAATAAATTGATTTTAAAAAATAAAATGAAAAATAAAAAAAAATGAAACAAAACAAAAATCCTTCACTGCCACTGAGTCCATTCTGACTCATAGGGTTTATGCTCATTGCTGTTAACTTCAGGGTCAGTAGTTCAAAACTGCTCTTCAGGAGAAAGGCTATCTACTTCCATAAATAGTTAGAGTCTGGGACACCCACAGGGGCAATTTTACTTTGTCCTACAGGGTCACCGTGAATAATAAGCACAGGAACAGAAAATGAGCTCTAGCTACTCGAGCTAGAGCAGTACTTCTCAACCTTCCTAAAACCGTGACCCTTTCATACAGTTCCTCATGTTGTGGTGACACCCCCCCAACCATAAAAGTATTTTTGTTGCTACTTCATAACTGTAATTTTGCTACTGTTATGAATCTAGCGACCCCTGTGAAAGACTCGTTCGACCCCCCAAAGGAACTGCTGATCTAGAGAAATGTAAGTAACCATTAACCCAACAATGTATTTAATATATTAAAATACAGGTGTAGTTTTTACAATAAAGGTATTCTGTCCATTACACGACAGATACCATTTAGACAGAACTTAAAATGTCTAAATCTTTTAAATTCCAGTGATGCTGCATTGGACTGCTAACTACAAGGTCAGTAGTTCAAACCCACCAGTTGATCCACAGTAGGAAGTTGAAGCTATTTGGTCCTGGAAAGATGTGCAGTCTCAGGAACCCGACACAGGGGTGCTGTGAGCTGGAATCAGCTTAATGGGAAGTTTTATGATTAAAGTCTAAGTTTATTTACACTAAAATGCCACGTGTCTTTTATCCTGTATATTCCAAAGGTGAAACTAATGCCACTGCATTTTGAAGAGGTCCACTTGATGACCAAAGTCATTGAAATATAAAAGTAGCCATCTGAAACATGCTCAACTAGAAACGGCTTTGGAATGGCTCTCCTCAACCATTTCTCACATTCAATAATTGCATTTATTCTGATGTTCTAGCACAATAAGCTTCCATATATTTTCTCTTAAGCTAGGAGCTTATTACATATCTTCTACTAAAGCCTAAAAAGGAATTAGATATTTGATTTACTACTTGAGGTAAAAAGAGTGTTTATCTAAATTTTTAAAATAACATGACACATTATTTAGATGCCCACTGCTCATATAGAAACAAATAAAACACGATTCCTAGGTGAAATACTACATGTCTAAACCCAAAATGCACTCACTCACTGCCAATCCAAGACTGTAACTGTTTACAGGAGTAGGAAGCCCAGTCTTTCTCCTGAGGAGCTGCTACTGGTTTTGAACTGCCAATCATGTGGATTGCAACCCAGTGGCTAATACAAGACACATCAAAACACAATACAGCATCACACATTAAAATAGAAATATCTATTAATATGTAGGGATGAGAAGTAAATACATTGCATATTTTAGTTAAATTTTACTAAAAGTCCCCAGAAATCTCCTCCCTGGTTCAACCCTATCAAGCACTGTGAGGGAGCAAGATGAGGCTCTCTGCCCTGTAAAGACGGCCCTCTCAGGAAGCAGGAGGAGGAGTTCTGCTCCAGCCTCTGGTCACAAGGAGCCAGAACCAACAGGAAGGCAGTGAGTTTGGTGTATGCTCTTAGGAGGAGCCTACTGTCCCCAGTTGGTGCGAGTGGTGAATGTGCTTGGCTGCTCACTGACAGGCTGGAGGTTGGAGACCAAAAGGCACATCATCAAAGAAAGTCAGTGGTTAAAAGCCCTGTGGGCACATGCATCCTCTCTGATACACATGCAGTTATCATGAGTGACAGTTGACTCCATTACAAATGTCTTTTCATTTGTTATTGTTGAAGGCTACGTGGGAGTTTGCATTTACTAAAAGTTATGGAATAGAACATCTATGATGAGTACTATTTAATGCAAATAAATTACACAGAAAACTAAATAGTGAACTCTAGCTAATGAGACTAATGCTGAACTTTTAGGTGTGTAATAAGTATCTGTATATCAACAAGCTAACATCACATGCTTTAAAAATACTGATGGATTGATTAATGAATAAATGAACAGATATGTGATAAAGCAAATATAGCAAAATGTCAATACTTACTGAGTGTATGTT